ATAGGAAAATCCAAGAAGAGTCACTGAGGACCTATCTGTTCACCTACAGCAGTGTATACGACTCCATCAGGTGAGCACAGATGTATTAGTTTCATCAGTCTTTACTAAACCACAGATTTCTGTAGACCACTGCAGCTTCCCCACAGACCAAAGATGATCGGTCACTGTTCTGCCAAACCTTAATTTTACTACGCTTGTCTGTCCTTCAGCATGGCTACGCTGTCTGAGATGTTTGAATTGGAGATGCCCACAGTCCACAGCATAATCAGCAAGATGATCATCAACGAGGAGCTGATGGTAGGACTCGACGTTTCTGTTCTGTGGACTGAAAATATAGACACAGCAGTCTCATGGGGGCTTTTATATTTGAGAGTGTTTATATTTGTGATTACTTTTTATCTGCCCTTAATGTGGGTCCCCCTCTTTTCTCTTCAAAATAGGCGTCACTCGACCAGCCCACACAGACGGTAGTGATGCACCGCACTGAGCCAACGTCTCTGCAGAACATGGCTCTACAGCTGGCAGAGAAACTGGGCAACTTGGTGGAGAACAACGAGCGCGTCTTTGACCTCAAACAGGGCGTCTATGGAGGTTACTTCAACAGGGGTAAGTTCATCTTGTTCTCACAGTACTTTGGGAACTTATTTCTAACCTTTCTGAACCATTTCTTTGTGTACTTTTGTTATCATAGGCTAATCTTGCTATTAGATGATAATGAGCTTTTATTTGTATTACAGATCAGAAAGGTGGCTACCAACAGAAGCAATCCTACCAGAGAGGTATGTTCAATTTCACTGAGGTTGTTTCCTGTTTCATATGTTAATGAGGTTGGGTTATGTTTTCAGCAATAGATGCTATTTTAAATTCGTCCAATTGCAATTGCTAGAAAACATGCAAAGTCCTTCAGTGTAACACCTTTGTGTTTTGATTTGTTTTGAGGTTTGTTTGTTTTTTTCTTCTTTTGTTGTGATTTAATGATTTTGTGTGAACACTAATGAGATGATTGTTGTCTTTGTACAACCGCAGATCAGAAATCTTACCAGCAGAAGCAGTCGGGTTACCAGAGAGGCGGTTACAGGAATCAAAATCAAGGAAATTATTGAGCTTGAAGTTTGTGGATTTCAGTTTTTCCAGTAGAGCTGGTCTTCATTTCAAAACAAGATCAACACCCCATGTTTGTGTGCTTGGCTCTTGGCCGTGCTCCCTCAATAAAACTGTTTTGCTGCTACTCCAATGTCTGCTAGTGCTGCTTTGTCTCAGCAACTGCAGAATGTAATATTCCACTTCCAATAAATATGAAGTTTTATTATTTCTAACAGAAATTACTGACGTTACAGTGTGGCAGTACAGTTAAGGGATAAAAATGTGTTATTGACTAATATTTATCAAATAAATAAAGTGTGTTTTGGTGCTTGGTTCTTTGTTTTTTAATTCAGCACAAAGACACTAAAGCGTGGAACAAAATTTTTAAAAAATGTGTGGAAAACTGAGTCCTCCCCACACATTCAAAATCATTAACGTCTATGTTTATCAGGGTCGAGGGTTAATTACAAAGTGTTACATCTTTTGTGGCATACATACAAGCCTTAGTGCTTCGGTAATTTTGGGTAAATACAAACCATGGGACAGTCACTGTGTCACTACCACTGACATTTATTACTGATTAGTCGATGCTTCACAGCAACTTGAATCACATTCTGGCGAAGCAGTGGAAAGTTGTTTATTAAATTCCCCAATAATCTTGCAACAGCAGCTTACTCTGTAGAGAAGTTTGAATCCGTTTCTTCGGTCTAGTTTTATAAATCCTCATTTCTGAGCATCATGTTCTTTTGTTTAATTACATTTCATAAGCATTTCATACATTAAAGTACACAAAAGCAATCTTTTGATACCCTGTCCATCAAATACAGTGTTCTCTCATGATCCGATCTTTATTCAGTTCGCCCACACACATTAACATGATAGAATAGCCTTTATTGTCATTGTACAGAGTACAACGAAATTGGAGTGCCACTCCCTTAATCATCATTGTTAATTAAATGTTTTATGCTTAATTCAGTTTACCTTCTGTTGCTAAATAACAGGCCCAGTAGTAGTTTTCAGGAGCTTTCTGGATATTACACCTTCAAGAGATATGAAAGTGTATTAAACAACAGTGCTCCCCACTAAGATCTTTTCCACACCACCTCCTGGTTGCAAACGTTAATATGAAACTGCAGAGTTCAGTGTTGGTTGATTGTTAGCTGCCTCCCCTTAAACTCAGCCGGAGTCTCCGATTGAGCTCTTTCCTCAGTAGGTCTCTTTCTTTCCGGATTCCCTGCAACACCGTGCGGTTCTCCTGAGCTCTGCGCACCAGGTAGGGCAGCGTTTCATCCACTGAGCCATAGGGCACTGACTTATACACTGAGTAACCCTCCTTAGCTGGAAGGGAGAGGAGAGATGGGATGGTGTGATTGTCAGACAAGTCAAAACCATAGCTTCCTTTCTCAACCCACTCAGGCAGTGATTGTGCATAGGTTTATCAGTTTTAGTGATGAAAGCGTGGACAGTCATTTAATAGTTATGTTAAGTGCATCAGTCAAGATGTGATGTGACGAAAATCAGCTCACCCAGTGTAAGGGAGACGTGGTCACACATGCCCAGCAGCTGACCGAAACACACTGAGCCTCCATCTCTGTCTATCCCCAACTCCTCCATTCTGATGAGCATGTGCAAAACATTTATATATATTAAATGGCAGTGATTCCCAACCTTTAGGGGTCATAAATACATTTGAGGGTTGTACCTTTCTCACCAATAAACATCTATAAACCTCTATCACATAAGACCAAAGGAACACCCCTAAGCTTCATTTTATCCTTATTGTATTTGCTCTGCAAGACAGTTGAAAGTATCATAAATTCTGCAAAACAAGTAATTGTTTGTGATTATTTCTTGGATGTAACAATGCTACTTGGAAAAACAATCTTATTGTTGGAAAGCATTTGGTGATTGAGCAGCAGAGTTGAGTATCTGAGTTAAGCCTGTGAAAAACTTGCCAGATATTGCCTGTCAAAGCTAAACAACAATCCAGTAACATTAACAGTTTGTTGTATTTTTATATTTAAAGTAGTTATGAAAACATTTGCTGATTTGTCAACTTTATCACTCTAGTATGGATTTGACATTGGCTCACCTATAACTGCACTTCCATTATGCATATGTTACACACATACCACCTCGATTACGTCGTTGTGGATTCTCACCGTTTCACGGCTCGTCTCACTGACTCCTCGTTGTGAGTGGCCACTATAATCCTGTACCGCTCAGGTTCCTGGGATATGACGTCCAGCATCAAATCAAGGCATCCGTTATAACTGTTCAAGAAGACGTGAAATGTATCAAGAGTCAAATCAAGATAAACAAAAATGATAGTTGACTGTTGCACTCAGGACATTTTCCTTCTGTCTAACCAACCTGTCATTGGTGTCCTCCCAGCTCTGATGGATGGGGTCCTGGTGACCCTCTTTCATCGCTAGTTTTCTCTCTTTGTCCATGTAGGCTCCTCTCACCAGCTTGACACCCAAACAGAAACACTCATTCTTGGATAGAGACAGCGCATCTAAGAGGAGAGACCTGGAGTCCTGATAACCACAGAATTTAACCACAGACACAAAGAATTATAATTAAAACCATTAACTCAGTGCAAGTGACATAAAGTGTCTGATATTTGATGATAATATGAGAAGAGAAATAAAGATAAAGATAGTTGCCTTCAGGTAACATTGATATGTGTTCCAGATCCAGGTACCATCTTTGTTAAATTTCTTCATCATTGCCATGGCGACAAGAGAGAGGGCGGGGTTCATGTAGGTGTACTCAGCATCAACCAGGACTCTGACTTTGTTCACACTTGCCTAAAAAAAAGTTTTATTCATTTCATTCAAAATTTGCATCTACACTTATTAAATTTGCTTCATGTGTCAAAGTGGGCATATTGTGCTTCTCTCTGTCTTCTTTAATAAATATTCAATTACAGTCGTGCATGATTTTAAAATAATATAATCCCCAACTATTTTTTGTATACTTGTGCAGAACTGACATCACTTTGAAATGGTCTCCCATTTATAATCACCTCAGGCACAGTCAGAGCTACAGTTTTGGCCCTGACTGAGGAGGTGGAGTTTACAACCAGCAAGTTCTGGTTAAGTCAGGAGAGGGGCAGCCAATCGGAACAAAGTGGGCTTCTAGGCAGAGGGCATTACAGAGACAAGCATTAATGGACCGTCTAAATGCCAATATTTGCATGAATTACATATTTAAATTTGTTTTTATTTGTTAAAACTGAATACTCTTGGTAAATCTCAGAATAAAAGTGTGTGAGCATAACAGGTCCCATCTATGGGAGCATTTGTTAAGTGTTCGATTGTCTCTCCCCTACCTCGGCTATCTTGTTGAGTCTCAGTAGGCCAGATCGTAAGTGGGCAGCTTCCTTTTCATCTAAACCGGGGAAGCTGATTGGCTGAAAGAGACGATTTTAGGCAAAACTTCTTTATATGGGAACTGAAAGGTGACACCTAAGAAACTGGATCACTTGTTGAATTGTGGACTCACCTCACCATCCATTGATCTGATGAGGAGATTCAGATCGTATGGCTGTTGCCTGATGATGTTTGTGAGTTTTACCTTTAATACAACACGTACATTTTCAGGAAATAAACAGTGTCAAAACTGAATAAAAACAGGTAAGGCAGATAGGTAGGGGGAGCTGGGTTTGCACATTCAAGAACAACCTGGAACAGCTGTGGATACACCAAACTCTGAAATGTGTGTCCTTATCTTTTTTCCCACATATTTGAAGCCTCTGATGTTAACACCCCAGTTCCCATACATCCAGAATACTCAGAAATGCCTCCACCTACCCACCCACTCAAAAAAAAAAAGTTTAAAGTCCCCTCAAGCATCTGTTCTAAAAAATAATAATATTAAGGACTGGGGACTCTGATTTGGAAGCCTTACACACAGCTCTGGGCTGAGCAGCGCTGTGATCTTCAGCTGCATCATCGGGTCTTTGCTCCAAGCGTTGCTGTGGGACATTCGCACACACTCCAGCATGGTGTCCATGTTGTCGTCGTATCTTTTCTCACTGCAGGCGATAAACCATAAACCGTAACATGAGAACAGCGAAGAGTGGACTTCACACTCAGGTGTAACAGCTGTGCACAGTTGTGTGTGTCGTGGGTTGGAGCTGAATGTGAGGTCCTTTAACTTTTGTCCTCATACGCTTGAGATGCAGAGGCAGGAGGTGGGCTGGGACCTATACTGCAGACTTCAGACAGTCTACAAGCCACAATTCATAGAAACATACATAAACAAAAAAACGTATGAAATGTCTGAAATTATGTACAAATTAATGCAAACCTGTTGAGAAGAGATTTTAAGAAATTTCAAGATAAAAATCCATCAATCTACGAGCAGTCTCAGCTTCCACAGAGGAAACACAGCTTCTATCAGACTCTCAGTGTGTATTGGATTCCCGTTGACCAAATTCAGAACATATATGAATATTTGACACTCTTTTCTTTGCCTATTTTTTTTTATCAAAATAAATAAATACCACAAACATTTTATTTTATTTCATGTGATAGGTGCAAGACAAATATTAAAGACATTGTTTGTAGCTGCACAAGTGAGCTATTGAGTTTGTAAGGCTGGCTTTGAGGGGAGCAATCTCTCCCACTCAACTGCTCTTTAAGCAAAAAACATCTGCATCAGATTTTTTTCACATTTGTGATTTGTGATGTGTTTCTTTCATGGTTGTGTGCAGTTAAATGAGTGTTTCTGTCTCTAGCAAAATTAGAAATGTATTTATTTGTTCTTGTATTTCAAAATCACATCATTGTTCAATTAAGTTAAGTTAATAAGTGTCCCAAAAACCTAAACGTCCACATGCATTGATCTAAAGTGTAGTGAAGGCTAAAATCTGCCCAGCAGCTGCGAAACTTCCAAGTACTAGGAACATTGAGTGAAAATTAAAAAGTGTCTTTTGAAGCAGCCTTTCAGCGACTTCTTAGACTCAGTCATACCCGGTGCTTTCTCCGAGGTCCTCCTCGATCGGCACGGCCAGCATGGGTCTCATTCCCTGCAGGCTCATCTTCTGCATGGACTGTGAGATTTCAGCCTCATTTTCTCCAGCCACAAACTGGGCATACACAGTGGGCCTCAGCAGCAAGGAAAACCCCCTTTTCCCCAGGA